AAAGTGTATATGAGTTATATTTCACTTAAAAGGAACTTATTAACCTGTTTTTTCATTAAGTCATTGATTGTCCTCTTCATATCTGCCACTTGAACCTTTAGCTGCTTTTGTTCTTCCTTCAAATGAGCTATATTAGACTCCCTTTGAGTTAATATGGAATGGTAACATAGCACGTGCATAAGCAAGCACATACCTTTTCACAGAGGTAACAAGATCAATTGCTCCACTTGTCAATCTGGTAGAATTTTTGAATATACAGAATTAGTATGTACAACTAAACTTTGCACTTTGCAGCCCAATATCACTGTGATATTGTGAAGCTTCTCATAATCGTTGTGTACTTCTCCAAAACCAAAGAACTGTCTATGAGGCTTGAATGCCAAAGCAGTCCATGGATCAAGCTCGTTAACAACACTTGATGTGCTAATGTCACCATTTTGATGAGTGGCAAGATCCTTGTGTCTAGGTCTCCTATGACCATTAAGTTCCATCGCATAGAACCTACAAGATTCAATTTCCTCACTGAAGATCAAGAGATGGAGCAAATGGGATTGTCGATTATTGTCATAAAGTATCATAGAATTAAATTATGAAACCTAAGTTTCCAGAAAAGACACGAATGGTGTAATAACATGAAGAAACCAAGTCAAATTAAAGGTCATTACAGTTAGTTATTAAAGAGATAGACAACAATTCGCACACCGCATCTGATGCATTCATTTAAATATCCCATGTCAAGAAAACAGTAAAACAATTAGTGTTTGCAGCCAACACGATGAAGGTCCATGAGGCTAAATAATGTTTCAACAGTTGATGGCATAGCATCTTCATCACCCCAATAATATTCTTCACCTCAATTAAATTCGCCACTCACCATTACAAGTTAATATGACACCAATCCCTGTTTGCATCTAAATCAATGCTGTAATTTAAAGAATAGATAAGAGCACGAACTAGTTATATTCGACTACAGTTCCCACCCAACCCAACAACAACAAACTAACACCATGTTTGGCTAAGCTTAAAGGTGCTTTTAATTTAAGCTTGGCCAAACATGCTTTTAAGTCTTATTCTTACAAATTTTGTTGGAATACATGAATATTTTTCATCACTCTATCTATCACTATGTCTATCGAAACATCCAATTCAAAAAAACTCTTCGGAACTATACCATGTTAATTTCGGTATATTCCCCTCTCTCTACTGATCTCTTCTGGTAGGAAAAAACTCACATCTCTCAACACAATGACAAAAATATTCTCGGCAAAAGTAATTTGAAGCATAGTTCAAAGGTTCCTGATAGGATCAAAAGTTAGTTATACTAGCAATGAGCAAAACTTGAAGGCCAGATTTTACAACTTTTATTTGACATCCTTTACCATATACAATACTTGGCACTACACTAAATTTCAACTTTAGAAATTACCACCATTTACCTCGTATTCATTACTTCTACAAAGGGAAAGATCCACGGCTAATATCAAATTAAAAAAAAAAA